TACATTTCCATTTTTGGAGAGGATATAGGATCTACACAGCCAATAAAAAGTTCAGCAACTAAGTGACTTGCACTATAGTAATGTATTAAGGTATTTCACCTAATCCATTTTCATGATTGTATTTTTTAAGTAATTCAGCCTGCCTTTTTTTATGATAGTTTGATTTGTTGTGATATTTTCCAGCATGTTTAACACACATACTGTATATAGAAGCAGTTGGTATACCACACTCTTTACAAGGATTACATAATCGCATTTTCCAATGAAGAGCACAACCTTCTTGTTGGTAACAACCTTTTCCACAAATTCAACCATCAATATAAATATGTGGGCAAGAATAGAATACCATCACTAATAACAATAACTTTCAAATTTTGCTTATATGAAATAATTATTTTTCGAATTAAACTTTTTATGTCGCTTTTATTATAAGTTGATAAATCAACGCATTATATACTTTTTGTCAGATCAAACAATGGCATATTGTGAGATCAAAATTCCACATCTCACACAAATCTCCTGATTTTGTTAAAATAGTATTTTTTTCGTTCATAAGGTAGTGTCTAAAGACTAGTGCCGTAAGTTATGGTGATGGTAGTAATTGTATTTACGGCATATAAAAAGTGGTTGCAATTACCTTTGCAACCACTTTTGCAACCATACTTTTTCCTTTTTTGGATTACGGCACTAGTCTTTAGATTCAACGATATGCTGGGTAGATGAACCTTTGGTCTACTAGGTAAAAAAATAATTCATCACCTATATAATATATTAATATTAATATAAGTTTATATAATTTAAACTTGGTATTTAAAAAATTTACTGACCATAAAAATGCATTAAAATGACTTTGATGTTATTGTTTCCTAATGTTTTTCTTAATCTATCTATTGAGTCTTTGCCTACTTTTCCCAATTTTATGTGGTCACCTTTAACGTGTGATGTGATATTTTCACCATAAAAAATTTCTTGGGTTTTATATTTAGAATTTCCATATGAAACAATTATATCACAGTATTTAATTACATTATGGTCTTTTGCTGCCATGCTTTGACCTTGTTCACTGTTAAATTAAATGGTATTTTAATATTTTAACAGCAAAATGTAAAATTATATTAAATAATTAACAAATAAAACCTACTATCTAACCAACAAAGAATCATCATCTATTAAATAGTCTAGGTAACTTGACATGAACTGATGTGAAAATGTTGATTCATTAATGATATTAGATCTCTTTTGATATTCTTTCTTTGCCCAAATCTTCTTTCTAAAAAATAATAAAGTTAACAACACATATGGGGCATGCTGCAACAAAACCAGACAAAGTGAACATTGGTATTACCAGAGTTTCAAGGTTCAAAATTTATCAAAAAAAGAAATAAAGAAAAAAAAATCCTTTAAAAAATGCTATTTAATTTGACTATCATTTGTGTAATTGATTCGATCATTAGCACTAAAGAAATAAACAATTTCAGAATTATTGAAATTAATGCCATTACAAAGATGAAATAAAATAATAATTTTTTTAAATATAATTAATTATACATCTTTAATAAAACAAATATGACTTAGCTATTTAATCATTTCCTTGTATGTGAATGCCTCCATCCATCAAATA